AAGGTCAGGACATGCCTTGACAGCCAAATTCATAACCACCAGCAGCGAAGTCAAAACTCAGGTTTGGGAAAGGTGACTCCCCAGTGCCCAGTGCCTCCAGGGGAAACCAGGGCCCTGCTGGCACAGGCACCCTGTCTCCATAAAGCACCCCATTGTCACAGCCTCTGTGCCTCCCACACCAGGGCCTGGAAAATGAATTTCCTGCGGAAATTAATAACTGATTCATGCCAGCTGACAGTGCTCTATCAGGGGGTAACTCCTGAGTATCAGCAGAGATGTACAGAGTTTAGATGAACAGAGTCAGATAACAGAGGGGCAGGCTCTTATCTCCTCAGAAAGGGCCCCTACTGAGTGTCACAGGTCCAACAGGGAGGCCAAGCTGCCATGCAGCAAACAGGAGGTGAGCTGGTCACAAGCTCAACAGTGAACTGAGGCTTCCAGAGGGTACTGACCACAGCCACACTCACCAGGGGCTCTAAGTAGCAACAGGCCCCAGGACAGAGGCTCCTGCCACCCACTCCACCCTGGCCCCAGATGTCTAGGAGCTATGGTAGAGACAGACCAGCTGGTGTCTTGTGGCCCTAGGGGCTTGTCTCAGCTGTACCATTCAACTCCCAAAAGGGCTGCCACCCTCACCCTGCTCCAGGAAGATGTCCCAGCCAGGCGTTTCCTCAAACCACCCTACTCCCTCCCTGGCAGCCCCCATCCCAGCTGAGTCAGGGCCTCTCTGGCCAGAGAGGGCAATGGCATCGACCAGGAGGAGGTTGTGGTGTGCTACACACCCCCTTCCCCAGCATCCAGGTTGGGCTCTGGAACCCTCCGGCTGTGCCTCCCCGAAGAAGTACCCCCAAAGGACCAGGGCTATGCCTGTGGGCCATGTTACGCCAAGCCATGTCCCACCAAACTGGCAGAATCTGCCTGGCCCAGCTACGTGCTGCCCTGCCCACCCTCTGGGAGGAGGGTGGTCTTTGCTCGGGCTCTGAGGTCCACGAAGGGAGTTGGTCAAACCCAGCCCCACTGCCCGTCTCAGCCCACTAAACATGGAAGGCACGGAGACCTGGAGCGGGCAGGATGTGAGTGTTCAGCCAGAGTGACCAGTCACCCAGGCCACAGGCAAACGCCGCTGGCCATGGAGGAAGCAGCGCTCTGAGTTGCTGAGGTTCTCATTGATCTGTGTAGAGTCTCCAAGTAAGGAGACCTTCCAATCCACAAGGAAAAGAAAGAGTGGGCATGGGGGCGAGGCCCTGGCAAGGACAGCTCTGGGGGTCCAGCAGCGCCACGTCCCAGCAGAGACAACTCAGGGTGGTGGGGGGAGCGAGGGGGTCGCCATGCCTGGCAGCAGGCCTTTCAGGAAAGATGGGCACAAGACAGCAGAAGACGTCTTGTGGGCGCTCAGTCCTGCATCCGTGCGTCCATGCCTCCGTCCGTCCCGGAAGGGGCGAAGCTGCAGCCTGTCTCCCGGGCGTCCCGCGAGGACCCCGCCAGCCAGGCAGGCTGGGTGGCAGGAACCGGGTGCCGCGGGACACCGACCTGACAGCTAGCTGCGGAGGGTAGGGCACAGGAGCGGAGCTGCAGGAGGAGGCCGGGCTGGGCCTCCGAAACTTTGTCCCCAAATGGAATCCCGGCCAGGCGACCCCTGAGGCAGCCTTGGCGCCCTCCTCCACCTTTTGGGAGACAACAATGGGAAACCAGCCGAGAGCACCAGGGAGACAACTGTGGAAAATCCCCCAATTTTGCAATGTCAACGGCGGGGCGCAGGGCGGGAGTCCCGAGGCTCATGCGCTGCCCCCGCGCGCCCGCCCGCGGGACTGCAGCCGGGAGGAGGTGCCGCAGTCGATCTGCTGGTTCTCGGACGCCGAGCGCGCGCGGCGGGGAGGAAATCGCGCTTGGCTCCTAAAGCAGAACTCTTTAAGTGCGGCTTGCAGTTTTGGGAGCGGAGGTCTCTGGCTGGCTTTTTGTTGTTTTTGTTTTGTTTTTGTTTTTGTGCCACTAGCTGTGTTCTCTTTTTCTTCGACTGAATTCAGAGGCCGTACATGAAAGAACTGAGGAAGCCCAGGTTCAGGGGACAAAGCCAGCCAGGGTGCAGAGAGCGGCACTCGCTGGTGTGAACACTGGCGCTGGGCAGACCTTCCGCCTCTGGACTGTCACAACCAGCCTGGGGCTGCAGGAAACCTGGCTGTGGGCGGGTCAGGTAGGCAGAGACAGGCAACAGTAAGGGGAGTGCCCACGGGAGCCAGGGGCCGCAATGACCTCCCCAACCCGTCTGGAAATCCGCAGCAGCCCTTCCGTGGTAGGTTGATGCCCGTCTGAGGCGCCTTCCTGGGCGAGAGCTGCCCTCCACGCCTGCCACTGCCAGGTATCCACTGCCTGGCAGCAGCTCACAGCTAGTAGGCTGTCTGTTTCAAAACGAGAAACACGCACAGCCTATTGGGTTTCAAAGTGCATGTGCTGGGCTTAAAGTAGAAAACTGGGCCAAAGGCTGCAGCCCACTGTGAAGATTCTTTTTCCTAAGAGAACTCTCAAACACCATCGTTTGGATCAGACAGCTTCTCCAGGAGCAGTGTTCCTGCAGGTTACTATCACTGCCAGGAACAGGTGCAGCTGCCCATGGGACCTCCTCACAGGCCCTTCTTCCCTCTCTGGGCCTCAGTTTCCCCACTGAAATCGCCACAGGATGGCCATTACAGACCAAGCCCAGAGCAGTATGTAGTCCTTCTAAAGTGCCCCAGCTTTACAGCTCTGGGACCACTCCTGGGAGCAGCTCCTGGGAGCAGCTGAGGCCAAGCCTTCTAGATCCTGCACTGCCTCGACCCCACCCTGGCCTGGGTGAGCTGAGACACGCACAGTATGAGGCGTCCAGGGCTCTGGAACCTGACAGGGATAGGATCTCAGCCCTGCCAACCATCACAAGAATAAGAAGGGCCTGCCCCGAGCCAGGCTCTCAAGCCATTTGAAGCTGTTTTCTCTTCTGTGAAATGGGTCTCATAGCCTAGGCTACAGGCTCATTGGGCGGGTTCAGAAATAGCATAACCACTGTGTCACTTGAGACTGGCACCTAGTGTTCTCAGTATGTCCTGTCCCAGGGGAGAGCAAACCCATCTGTTTAAGGACACCTGGTGGGAAACAGGGAATCTGTGCCCTCCTGTCTGGACTGCTTCTCCAGCCCCACGAAGGCCCATTCCTCGGGTTCAGGCACATTGGGGTCTAGAGACTTTAGGCAACAGCAGGTAGCTCTGGCACCCTGAGGTGCCCCTCTAGTCCTCTGATCCATGGGACCACCCACCCCCTGCCCCCATCCCCTGTGCCTAGTAAGGAGTTACTACTGGGGAAGCCTCACAATGCTGGCCCAGGCCTCCCTGAGCTGGAGACGGCTGTAAAGCAGTTTATAAAATGAGCAAGGTCTTTGGGGCCCTGGAGGAATGCTGTTGGTGCTCAGGGTTCTGTACCCACCTGACCACAGCAGATACTCTGGTCCCTTTGGCAGACTGCACACTCCCTTTCCCCTGATTTGCAGGTGTGTTTATTCCTTTTCTCCGGGTTTGCTTTCAGGAGTTTCTGGTATGGTCTTACATATTTAAAATTTTTCTGACATATAAATGACATGCTATAAATACAAGCATTCCACACCCCAGGCAGTGCATTCAGGCCCCTGTAAGAACAGAGTATCCCTGGCAGGGATGGAGGGGGCACTGATACCTAGGCCTGGAAGCCCATTCCCTCCCTGTGGCCACATTGGGTCCACTGTAGCCCACCCCAGCCGGCCCTGCCTCGGTGAGACTGGGACACAGGTTACTCCTCACACACACACCCCAAATCTCTGATATGGCCAGGGCCCAGGTGGGGTGGGCACTGGGCATGGTTCCCTCAATGCTGACGACCCCAGACAGAAGAGGGACACACATACACACACACACACACTCAGACTCACAGATGCACTCATATACATGCACTAGCACGTGTGTGCCCCTTGCAGGCCAAAGACTCCCACCCCTACTCCAGGCCACCTGCAGGCTTTTGCAGGGAGGATCCAGGCTGTCACCACCACAAGCAGGACTGGCCAAGTGACAGACCCTCCAACCCACCCACACTACCTAGAAGTCAGGGTTTCCTGCAGACTCCCGTAGTTTTTGAATGTTAGCACAATTCTTTAGGGAACGTTTTCATTGGAGTACAAACCTAAGGGAAAACCCTGCACATTGGCTGAAATCCCTTCCAGACAAGAAGGAGCTACACAGGTTGGTCCGCAGGCCTGGGCACACTTGTTTCAGCGCCCCTGCTCAAGAGGTTCAGGCAGGATCCCGAAGCCACAGGAGCTGCAGTGCCTGGCCAGGTCCTGACTCCGGGTCCCTCCCCTTTCTCCGCTGACCTTTAACACACACACACACACACACACACACACACACACACACACACACCCTCCACACCCGGCGGGTGGTCCCACCCTTGGTCCCTAGAAACGGAGCTCCACCCTCTCGATTTAGCATTCCGGAATGCCAGGTGCAGGGTCAAGGCCACTTCTTCAGTGGGGCGAGGGTGGAGACGGCCCGAGGCCGCCCGAGGCCGGGGCTGGGGCCCGAACTGGGAGGAGAGAGACCAAGGCCTCGAGGAGCCAGGCGCCGCACCCGGGACCAGAGGAGCCGCCTGCGCGTCGCTTCCACGCTCCCCGCCGCCCCTGCGCTCCTGCCGCCTGGCGTAGGGCCATCATCGCGCCTCGGAGATGCGGGGCTCTGCCGTCCGGACCCTTCCGACCCGCCGCCCATAGCCCAGGGACCCGACCGGCGTTCCGCGCGGGCGGCGACGGCAAGGGACGCCGCGGGGGCGGGCCCGGGGCGTGCCGGGGCGGGGCGGCGCGGACTGCGGAGACGCGGCGGCGCGCGGGGCGGTGCAGAGCTTTCGCGGCGCGGAGCTGAGCGGCCGCTGCGGGCCGGGGCCGGGGCCGGGGCCGGGGTCGGGGCTGGCGGGGGGAGAGGGGGGGTCTGAGGCGGGTCGTGCCGGGCGGGAGCCGAGCCGGAGGGCTGACCGGGAACCGCAAGCCGCGCTGGGCGGGAGCAGCCATGGCGCCGCGCAAGGCTGGGGCCCGCACCGCCGCGCGCAGCCTGGGCGCCGCGTAGCCGGGCCGGGCCGGAGCGGGCGGGCGGGCGGCTGGCGATGGTGACACATGCGGCGGCGGCGTGCCGGCGGCAGGACCATGGTTGAGCGCGCCAGCAAGTTCCTTCTGGTGGTAGCGGGCTCGGCGTGCTTCATGCTCATCCTGTACCAGTACGCGGGCCCGGGGCTGAGCCTGGGCGCGCCGGGCGGCCGCGCGCCGCCCGACGACCTGGACCTGTTCCCCACGCCCGACCCACACTACGAGAAGAAGTACTACTTTCCGGTGCGTGAGCTCGAGCGCTCGCTGCGCTTCGACATGAAGGGCGACGACGTGATCGTGTTTCTGCACATCCAAAAGACGGGCGGCACCACCTTCGGCCGCCACCTCGTCCAGAACGTGCGCCTGGAGGTGCCCTGCGACTGCCGGCCCGGTCAGAAGAAGTGCACTTGCTACCGGCCCAACCGCCGCGAGACCTGGCTCTTTTCCCGCTTCTCCACGGGCTGGAGCTGCGGACTGCACGCTGACTGGACCGAACTCACCAACTGCGTGCCCGGCGTGCTGGACCGCCGCGACCCCGCCGCGCTGCGAACGCCCAGGTGAGCGAGCGGTCCCTGGCCCCGCGGCCCCACTCAGTGGCTCCTCGCGCAGCTGCCGCTGCTGCCCTCTAACCCTTCCCTTTGACCTCCCTCGGCCACCTCTGGGTTTGTCCCCTGCTGGCCTAGTTGCACAGTGCCACTGCCCGCCTGGGCTGTAGATTCAAGCTGACCTCACGGAGCCCCGTGGGTCTTTGGGCAAGGAAGCGGGTTCCAGTGGGGCGTACCCGGGGTCTTCGCTTCTCGTGCCCCTCTGTACCGAAGTGGAACGGAAAAATGAGGTCCCTCTCCCTGCACCTGGGCTACCCCCACTTTTGGGGAGTGACCTGCAGACAGGGTGAAGGGGAGCTAACTGCCTGGGTGGGAGGGCCGCCTGTCAGTGAGTGCAGGTAGAACAAAGGCCTGGTGTGACTCGGCTGAGGCAGAGAGAAGGCAGTTTCACCTGTCCTCTCCTTGGGAAAGAGGAACAAAGATACCAGGGTGGGGGCCACCATCCTCCAGACTGCCAGCCGGGGCAGGATACCTTGGCAGCCAGACACCTTCTTGCAGGACGCGCTTATTCCCTGCGGGTGGGGGTGGGAACACGGACCTGGCTTGTAGGTGGCAGAGTGCCCAGGCAGCCTTCCTGGGAAGCACTGGACCCAGGGCAGCACTGGGCTTCACATTTCAAGTTGGGATTGTTTCCTCCAGTTCTTGTTGTTCCTGTTGTGCCCACGTGTCCTGCAGGGACACCTCCTCTTGTCCCCTGTGTGTGATGGCTGAGAAGGACCAGGAGCAAGGTCTTCTGCCCTGGCTTTGTTGCTTTTCCACCTGCCTATAGGACTGGAATTTGCAGGGGCAAGTGTGCCACTCACTGACCCAGAGCAGTCCTTTGGGGCAGGAGAGCATGGTCATCTAGGTGGAAGTGGGGTCCCCAAGAGTTGGCTCTTACAGATCTGAACCTAGTCCAACCACGGCAACCGAGGCACCCCCAGCAACCCCGGTCCTTTTGGCCTTTCTCAGACTCAGAAAACTGAGATCCTTCCAGGCACGGAGCACACACCAGTAATCCTAGCTCCTGGAGGGCTGAGGCAGAAGGCTGGCAGGTTAGAGGCGACTTAGTGAGGCCTTGTGGCAAAATAAAGAAAAGTGAAAAGGGTGGGGGACCCCAGTACTGGACCTCAGTACAGCTCACAAGGACAGAGACAGTCAGGGTCCTGGAGTTGGGACACGTACCAAGTCTCCTCCAGCTGTGTCCTGTCCCCCAGCAGTCGCAGCCTCAGATGTGACAGTCTGGGGCTCTCATTTGATGGTCACAGATCCCCACACCAGTTCTGGTCTGCTGGGCGCTGCCTGCTGGCGGCAAGAGTGGGAAGGGAGAGGGCTGGGCCTCTGAAGCAAGCTTACCTTGCAGGGGTACCCAAACCAGGGTGCCCCCTCCACCCTCTGGTCCCCTCTGGTTTCCAAAGGGGAAGGGCTCCTCTGCCACCTCCATTCTCCAGGTCATCCCAGAGCATGAGGTACAGCGGCTGCAGTGCTCCTCTGCTCCAGGGACACCCCCACAGCCTTCCCCATGGGGGTTGGGGGAGGCAGTAATGGAGACCCTGAAGGTGTGTCATGACCTTTCACTTCACTGACCACCAGCCTCTGCCTGGAAGGGGCTGGCTCAGCAGCATGTGAGCCAGGTGGGGGAGGGTTCCGGAAGTCCCTCTAGTCTCATCACGAAGCAGGTGTCCCTCTGATCCCTCAGTGCCCCCACTTTCTGCTTTTGGTTCTATAGATGGCTTTTGGGGTGAGCTAGCCAGAAGAGGCGGAGAGTGTGTTTGGTTTGGGTACTTTCATGTGGGCTGTACCGGACCCCTGAGAGAAACCTCCCTGAGCTGCCTTGCACTGCAGAGGTCAGACTGCACTTTGCCCAGACACCCTTGGGAACTACTTTCCAGGCAGGGGTCATGCCCTTGTGGGCAGGATGGCTTGGGCAGATGTGTTCTTGCCCTCAGGGCACACTTTTGGAACCTTCCCAGGGAGCTCCTGGTGCATCTGCAGCATGACATCCACTAGGCTCCTCTGAGCCGGTCAGACATTCAGGCACACATGAAGAGTGTGCCGCCTTCCTCAATGTGGTTTGGCTCTCCCAGCAGCTGTTGGTGCTTCCCACCCTGGTAGAGGAAGAAGCGTGTGAGCAGAGAACTGGCAGGTGCCCTGTGGCTCTGCCTCAGAGGGCATCATCTCTGATCTAGATGTTGCTCCCTGAAGATGACACTGGGGAAGCAGGGTTAGGGTCTTACCTGAGTTAACTTGGAAGTGTCCCTGAAATTGTGCAGGTATCACTGGAACACAGGGCGTTTGGGGCCCCCATATGGCTTGTGGGCCATCTTGGCTGGGGCCCTAGGCCTGTCTCACATCCTCTGCAACAAGACTCCTCTGGGAGCCCTGGTGGGCATAGTGTCTGTGGTGTCCCCTTGCAAGGGCAATGTGCCCTTGGGAAGGGGGAATCGGCATTCTCTGGCAGATGGCGTGTGTCCTCTCAGGGACTCAGCTTCATCCTCCACCTGCACCCTGTCCTCCCTGAGGTCATTTCAGGTTCCACAAGGCTGCCCCAGGAAGCCCCACCCCAAGCCTTCCCTGACTGCTGCTTCCCAGTGTTCTGTTGCCTTAGACTCCCTGACTGAGCTCCTGCCCGCTTCCCTGTCCCAAGTATGATGCCTGGGTGCCAGCTGTGGCCTTGTGCCCAAGGGTGCTACCCTCATGTTGGCACCAACCAGTACATTTCCCCCTGGTCCCGCAGCCTATGTTCTGCCATTCCTTGTGAGTCTTGTCACCCAGGAGAACCTGAGTGCTGTGCTGTTCTGAGACTCCAGGGGCACCCCAGTGGGCCAGGATAGCAAGCATGGGTCAGGTTAGGGTGTTTCTGTGGCACTTGGCCTTTACAGTCACTTTCTTTGAAATTAAGGGGCATAGTCAGCATCACCACAGAGGGGAACAGATGTTACTCAGAGTGCGTTATAGGGGCAGCAGACAAGACCTGCACTGTGCCAGGGGCCTCACCTAAACCACATGGGCCCAAGGCCAAGATGTCATAAGCTGGATTTTCACTAAAAGACAGAAAACAGCAAGCACTCTTCTGTGTAAGGGGACACACCAAAAGGGGACGCCCTTCGGCCCTCAGGCCTCTGGGCTCACTGTGCCACGAGCAGCCTGGGGGCTGAGCTAGGTCAGGACCCACACTGTGCTGGGCACCTCCTGTGTGCAGCTGCACCTACAGGTCCCTGCTGCAACCTGAGGGTGTGCCTGCTTCTCACCAGAAAGTCCTTTTGGCATGGACTTGCCCAGCTAGGGCCTGAGACTGAGAAGCCCCATGGTCACAGTTGCAATCACAATCATGATCAGGGTCGCAGCAGGCTGTGCCTTTCTCAGCGGGAGTCCGAGGAGTTGGACTGCAGTTCTGGGGAGACTGTGTTGGGTCTGAAGTGCTTTGAGGCCCTGGAGGGGGCAGGCCTGGCATTCTCCCCTGCAGCAAGGCCCTTTCAGTCCCTTCTTTCACACGCCTTCCTTTTTGTTGCAGTCTTTGTTCATAGTGGCTTAGTGGGAGGAAAGATGGGGAGATGAGAGGCACCACCATGTTCTCCACAGGCAGCTCCTCTGTGATGGACACTAGTGTAATTCACACCATGAGGGTAGCCCCTTGTCCCTGGTGCTGCAGATGGTCCCCCATGCTGGTTGCCCCAGGCTGGTTTTCAGGTTTGGAGCATGGGGGTTTCCAGTTTCTTACTCCTTTGAGGAATGCTGCTATGGACTCCTCTTGTGCAAATATTTTGCATAGCTCTGATTTCCTTTGGAAATTCCTAGGAGTGGAATTTCTGCATTGGAGAGCCTGAGTGTTTCGTTAATGGACTTTTCAGAAAGCCTGCCACTCCTGCTTCTCGCTTGTGGTATTGTGTAAAGCAAAGTGCCCTCTCAATGTGGCCCTCCTTGCTGCCAGTATTGTAAGAAGCCATCCTTCCTTAAATCAGTCAAAAAGTGTCTGTCTTGTGGATTTCACTGCGAAGTCCTGCCTCACTCCACACTGTTGGGTTGGCCCCACTTTAAGGAACTGGGGATGTCTTAGTTACTTTCTTGTCCCTGAGATGCAATGTCAGACACTCTCAACTTAAAGAAGTTTATAAGTTTATCTTGGCTTACGGTCCCTAGAGATTTGATTGGTTCCAAGACAGGGTGGCGTGGCAGTGGGGCAGAGCAAAGGAGAGGTGCTCAGAGCAGGAAGGGGGACACAGAGAAAGATAAGAAAGGAGCGAGGCAGATCCTGCTGGACCATATGTCCAGTAACCACCCCCTCCAACTAGGTTCCACCTCCCAGCTTCACATTTAGTTGTAGACCATCACACGCGCATGATCAGTCACCTCCCCAGAGCCCCACCTTTGAACCCCTGAGGCTGTCTTGGGACACCAGGCCTAGAGACCAGGCCCTAATTCCCCCAGATGCCCCCTGCCTGCTCTTGGGTTTGTGCATCTTACCCTTGGAGGCCCTGAGAGGTAGTGGTACAGCTCCCAGGACCTGGGGACAAGCTGAAAAGCTGGCAGATCAACTGCTGCCCCTGGCTCTTAGCAGGACACCTGATAGGCTCTTACCATAACTTGGATGTAGTTCTTATTGTGTCCTCCCAGGGTGCATGTGTCAGGAACTTGGTCACCAGTGTTGCAGGACTGAACCAGTGTTGCAGTGGGCCCTTTAAAAGGCGGAGCCTAGTAGAAAAGCAGATTCCCCAAGGATTATGCCCCTGAAGGAGACAAAGGTAGGTGCCCCTAAGAGAAGACTGTGAGAAAGAACCCAGCCCCTCCTGGGTCCCTGTTTCTTCCTGTCTTGCACACACACACACACACACACACACACACACACACACACACCAACATCCTGAGGCTCTCACAGATCCTAGCCAAAGCTGGCAGTACGCCCTTGAGCCTCCCAGAATTGTAAGCTGAATAAACCCCGCTTCTTTATGAAGTACTCAGCCTTGGAATTTTCC